TAAATGATTTAAAATATATTAGACATTTACTAATTATTATATATATATATATATATATATATATATATTATATTTGAAATATGTGCTAATGCCCATGAGTGGCCAACTCAACTCCTAGAGAATGGTCCATGAGTTGTAATTAGAAACCAACAACTAAGCCCAAAAGGGTCTTTAAGAATGGAATTGAATGACTGTATAATTATTATATACATTTAAGTCCTAAATATGACATAAGCTTCCATTATAACATAGGCCAAAACAAACCCTAACGCTTTGTTTGGAATGTTGGATTTGATGGGATTTGGATTTGGAAACAGGATTTGCCTTGTTTAGAACATAGAATTACAAATGGGATTTGATAATTATAGGATTTCAAATACCGTTTTAATTGTGTTTCAAATCCAGTCTAAAAAGCCAGGATTTGAAGGGATTTGGCGGAATAAATATTCATTAATTATACATTTCCTTATGCTTTGTTTGGAATCAATTAATTTAAGATTTGGAAAGGGAATCAATTGGAATAGGAATTGGAATTAAAATGAAATTCTATTTATGTTTGGAACAAATTGGATTTAAAATGGGATTTTGAATAAAAAATAATATAATACCATTTTTGCCCTTGTTTAAATAATAAATGAAATATTTATTTTATTGTAAAATATACTCCAAAGTTATATCAAGAAGACAAACAACGAGAAGAATTATCTGATGGAACTCTAAAACATGAAATTTATTATTAAAAAAAAAAAATTATTTATTATTTTTATATATAAAAAAACTATGTTATTCAACTACCATCACCAGCATACTTAAAAAAGAATATTAAAAAGTAAACTAAGCCTACAGAAAGCGTGCAACCATTTTCCAAGACAGCCAAGTTTTACGCATCTCATCCGGGCACCCAAAAAAATCCTTCCGCTACAAGGGGATCCGAAATAAGAAAGTCATAAGTAGAAAAAAAGGAAGGCATTATCAACTTCGTTCACCTTCTTTAATTTGAAAATATTTCTGCACCAGAATAGAACTGACGTGTACCTTTCTCGGCCACAATATTAGATCAATCAAATGCATTTGCAATTTGAGTAAGTGAGTCAGTAATGACACTAATATTTTGGTTCAGCTCGTCATATTTTGAAATATTTCTTTTACTTTTACTACCCTTTGAGGAGGATGCACGCAGAAAGCGCATGTGTAATTCGTGACTGTTGAACACTTATACATTCAATTTCCTCTAAATTCTCGAGATTGATCTCATTTCTTGCAACCATTTCATCTAGTTCGTCAATACTTGTGTCTTTTCCTCACATTGCCATGCTCGTGTCTTTTACCCAATGACAATTTTTCTCTTTTGTTGTTTTAGCTCCTCATCCAGTAGCTTTATCTTTTTCAAAAATTTCACGTAGAACGTTAAACAAAGGAAGTGAGACATTTCTGACTTAGCGTGTAGCCGGCTAACCCAGTTAAAGTAGGAAACATTCAAAAATTTAACTTTATGATATAAAGAAAACGAAAGATAATATTTTATTCAACATTTTCATACCTTAATTAAGGCATCCCATACAGGTATTTCAGCATCTATTGTTTTAGTACTATCATTCCAACCAAAGCCACTACCGCGCTTCAAAACTTCCAAAGCAATATCCATTTTTCTTTTCAAAGTCTTTAATCAATTTTGAATATTATCTTTATTTACCTTTGTAGTGAAATACAAGTTCATTGCTTCAATTGCAACGTTATATACTGAAGGGTTAAAATTTCTATCAGGTTTCTGTCCTTGTGTTTTTTCATCAAGCAAAACGTTAAGTAAAAATTCATCCATTTGTTGTGCCCACACAATGTATCCCGATGCATTCGTTTTGTCATCACAATCACTCGTATCCATTGTTTAAACTATAAAGCAATATTCACAAGTAAATTATATATATTTAAAAAGTATATATCTTATCAATTTGAAATAAGAATTATAATAAAATCAGTAAAACAAACAAGGTAAGAAGTAAACAATTTCTTGCATAACAATAATAATAAAAAGAAGTTTCGATCACATCATAAAAGAAATGAAAATTTACTTTCAAATAAATCAAATTTCCTTACAATTATTGATTAGCCACATAATCAATCCACATGTTTGCCGCTATGAGATCTCTTTGCATTGATCCTTGTCTACCCTCTTCACTCAGGTCATTCCTTGGCATTTCTTGTGGATGTTCAACCTCACAATTCATAAGATCTTCGTCAACTTCTGCCATTAATCTTTCATTTGGCTCTACTCCTAATAGAAAATTGTGTAAAATACAACAAACTAATATAATTTTAGTTTGTGTCTCGAAATTGTAATGTGGTTCAGTTCCACTGGCCAAAATAGGAAATCTTTTTTTTAACACACCAAATGCCCTTTCAATTGCATTACGTAAAGAAGCATGTCAATGATTAAATATCTCTTTTGAATTTTCGGGACCACGTGTTGAATACTCTTTTAAGTGGTAACGCATCCCTCGATAAGGAGTAATAAATCCATATTTTAGAGCAAATCCAGCATCACCAAGATAAAATTTACCTAAAAACTTGTAAAGTGGATTAGTTTTTATTTGCTTATACTTATGATATAATTGTGATAATATTAAATTTAAATACCTTCAGGCACGTTTAAATTATCTTCACTATTTAACGCGCTTTGTAGAATCTTTGAGTCAGCTGCTGATCCTTCCCATCCAGGCAAAACATATGTAAATTTTAAATCAAAAGTGCATGCTGCCAAGACATTTTCTGTAGGAAAATCTTTTCGTCCTCTAAATTGTGTAACTTCTTCTTTTGGAATTTTTACACGAAAGTGTATTCCATCAATAGCTCCAACACAATCCTATCAAATTAATAAATATAGTTTAGTAGTTATTATAAAATGGTTGTACAAAATTATAATTGAAAATTACCTTAAAGTAGGGATAGAATCTGCTATTATTTACTATTTCCGGTGGTGTTGTAGTTCCATTAGGTTGTATGATAAACTGATTTTCAAGTGAAATAATCGCCCTCATAACATTGTGAAAATGACGACTAATTGTCTCAGTGGAGCGATTAAAAAAAAAAATCGAATTGTTCAATTTCTCACATTATGAGATAAAATATGCAAAAACTTTGCAACTTATTCCTCTACGCAGCTAGATGCATTATCTTTGAGACGTCCACTTCCCCGAAGTATTCCAACAAGTTTAGCAAAAGTATTCGGCCTATACGTAAAATGTCATGAGTTCTATCACTATTAATAATCTCCTTCATTAATTTTTTTCTAACTTCTTCCCTCTCACCAGCATTTTCTGAAACTGATCTACATATATAACCAGATATTGATAAGCTGATAATAATGTGACTAAATGTGCCACGCAAACAACTACTACTCCAATGGCCTTTTGTCCTTTCCTTTCAAATTCTTGTCTGATATCCATCCACATTTGATATTTAAAATTATCAGTATATATCATGATTAATAATGAAACCCTAACACTAGGTTGCAAACAACTTTTTCATGTTCAAATTGTTGGATATATTACATGAGTATATTCTTGCAGTTTTCTAATATAAAATAACTATTGTATTTTTCTTTCACTGTTACCTTATATATAATTAATTCATTTATTAAATACTAAGTACACTCATTTAAGTAAGTATACTAATTATTAAAGATAATATTGGCAATATTGGCTTATATATATATAAATAACTTAGGAAGGTTATAAAAGTGTAGTATTTATTTATTCAATCACAATAAATACATTTTGTTCCACAAAAATGCTGTGAATTCTGAAGAATTGAATGATATGACCGTTCGTTTAAATTTTTAAGTACACAAAATACTGGTAGTGGATACTAAAGTATTGGATTCCATACCTTTTAGTTATAAAATTTTGCTCCATTCATGTAAAATTTTCTAAGTACAAAAATATAAATGTAAATTTTTCAAAGTACAAAAATACAAAAGTGGTGGTGAATCAATCTTTTAAATGCGGTTTAAGATATTGGAGTATATCAAACAAAATGGTGTGAATTATGGACGATTGAAGCATGATTTTGGTTATATAAATTTATGTATTGTAGATTTTTCAAGTTCAAGAATATAAAAGCGGTGGTGGATCAATATGTTAAACACAGATAATTTTGAGAAATTCATATCTTACTCCATAACTTTGAGCTTTGAGGATTAATATGTTAAACGCAGATGTTGAAATATACCAAACAAAAAAAAACATTGGTGTAAATTATGGAGGATTGGAGCATCACTTTTGGTTATAAAATTTTGAATAAAAAGTGATGGATCAATCTGCTAAATGCAATTTAAATATATTAAAGTATAACAATATATATATATATATATATATATATATATATATATATATATATATAATATGCTAAACAATGTTTCAATTAGAAATTCATTTACTGACTTGACCAAGTTCGAAACAATTAGAAATAGAACAATAGATATGCAAATAAAAATTAATTCGTTTCCATTTAAATAATTAAAGATTCATAGTTTAGTCACCGGCAAACTTGGGTAAGCTCAAGACTTAAATGGTTAAAAGCTGATATAATACATACCTAAATAAAATTCCAAGACGGAATAAATATAAAAAAAAAAATTAAAAGCAAAAAATAGAAAAGAAAAAACTTTATCATGCAGGAACTGGATATGCTCAACACATAGAGAAAAATATATATATATATATATATATTAAAACAATTATATTATTATATAGAGAACGAATTAGCTAGAAGATAATAAGAAGAAAAAAGTTAGAGATCAAAATATGGTAGTAGATATTTAATAAGATAAAGTTTAATAAGAAAAAATTTTAATGACAAGAAAACGACGTTAGAAGGTTAATTAAAAATTGTTTTGACATATATTATAGTGGAACCTCGTGTCATATCTACGGCTGGAAACTCTTTTCCAATCGTAGATATGACATAAGCTTCCCCTATAAAATATACTAAAACAACCCTAACTCTTTTCCATCCCATCTCCGCCGTTCCCACCGGTCTCTCTTCCTTCTCTATTCCCTCTCGCACAATCCCTGCGATTTTCCTCTCTCCCAGATCCCATCTCTGCCGCTGTCTCTCTCCCATGGGTCTCTCCCTTCTCTCTCACAATCCCTCTCTCGCTCAGCAATTTCTCTCTCTCCGCGGACAAGCTTCTCATCTAAAAGTCAAGGGCAGAAAAAGCTCTCGAAACCCATCCCATGGGCAAATCAAATATATATCTTTTGTTTTGGGGGGGGGGATTGATTATTCTCTTTGATCGGGTGAGTTGGTAACCCCATCCAAGCTAATCCATATAAGAGGGGAGGTTTGCTTGGTGCAGAAGCATATCGTTAATGCGATCTCAGAAATACATCTCAGAAATACATCCCCGTTGCCTTACCCCTGGATGTTCTATCCCCTCTCTATAACGAGCAACGAACTTGCATCCAAGCTAATCCATATAAGAGGGGAGGCTTGCTTGGTGCAGGAGCATATCGTTAATGCGATCTCAGAAATACATCCCCGTTGCCCTACACCTGGATGTTCTATCCCCCTCTCTATAACGAGCAACGAACTTGCATCCAAGCTAATCCATATGATCCATATGAGAGGGGGGTTGCTTGGTGCAGGAGCATATCGTTAATGCGATCTCAGAAATACATCCCCGGTTTGCTTGGTGCAGAAGCATATCGTTAATGCGATCTCAGAAATACATCCCGATGTTCTATCCCCCTCTCTATAACGAGCAATTCATTCTCAAGTTCGTTTCTTATTGCAGAAAGAGCCAGGCTGATGGGATTTCTAAATAATAGTAAGCTAAGCGAGATGCCGGGCGCAATAAGCTTGATGCGCCTTACTCCTTAAACGTTCCAGTGAAGTGAAACGTTCATTCCTTGTTCCTTATAACTGAGTCTAAGGGAAGCTCCTTTTGAACCCATCAAGGCTACTTCTACTGCTCATAGAAGGATTAGGCTTTCTTAATGAATGTGCGGGGAACTGCTCGTCTCTGATCGCTTTCTCTTTCTCTTTCTCGGCATTCGGCTCTTTGAATATGCCCGGTGGGAGAGAACTCAGTCCAACATGAGGATGGGGTCGACGGGTGGAGTGTTCTCCCACCCCGCACGCGTGGATTGGTAAGTGTGAATGATTTTTTTTTTTTTTTTTTTTTTTTTTTTTTGAATCTGACAGTACTTCGATTCAAGTCTCATCCATAATCATTTTGATTTGTTTTTTGTAGTTCATTTTTCTTTTTTCTTTCTTTCTTTTTTTTTTTATTTATTTATTTTTATTTTTATTTTTATTTTTTATCAGATATCAATTTCATCCCTATTATTTTTTTTTAAAGTTATTTTTTTTACATTTAAATTCTGATTGGATTAAGTGGGGCAAGTTCTTTTTCTCATGCTTTGGAATATGTTACGTTGGGCTCAATAAAGTGAGCACAAATTGTAAATTTATTTTATTTTATTTCCAGTGAAAAAGTCTATATACCTTTGGTCTACCAATGTTTATAGCTGCAAAAATATGTCAAAATATTTATTTGAATCTGACTACAATTTAAAGTCATTTGGCAATCTTGTTCTATCCTTCTACAGAAGGGCTAGTTTCATAGGCTTGTGCTGCTTTCGTGGGTCTGTTCTCTTCTGTTGGAGGGTGTGTATGCTGCTTTCGTAGGTCTGTTCTCTCCTGTTGGAGGGCCCTGTTGGAGGGTGTGTATGGGCGCATAAATTGTTTAGTGTAGATGGGTGCAGTTGATTGGGTTTATTATGTTAATATAACATAATATCATTTGATATGTAGTAAGCTTGGGGTGTGTGGATAAAGCTGGAAGTAATGGCATTCACGGGGTTGGGGTTGAACTTTCTCATTGCAGCTGGTGAGGATGAGGTTGAACATTCAATAATTTCATCACTGTGTGGTACAACCGGCGCAGGCAACTTTGGTTTGGACAAGTCAATAGTGATAATCTTATTGGATAGGGAGGTGAATGCCAATGGAGCAGGGGAAGGACTATGTGGTTGAGTTGGTAGGTGGAGAGATCCATCAGCATTGACAGAGGCTAAAAAAGGTTCTTGCTCTAATGGCCTGACCTTGTCTGCATCAGAGTGAGGGGAACTGGTAGAGCATTCTTACTCTTCCTATTAGTCACCGCTGTCCAAGTCTCAGCATTCTTCCTCTTCCTATTAGTCACCACTGTCCAAGTCTGTTTTGGGTTTTCATGTGTTGTGAGTTGGTTTTACAGGAACCGGAGTTGTGACCCACCAGCTTGCATGAGCTGCAAATAATTGGTAATTTCTGGTAAGTGACATACTTATTATCCCCCATCTTAAGCTTGATGTTCTCAACTAAGGTGGCTTTGAGGTCAATTTCAATGCTTATTTTTGCATACTTGAGCTTAGATCTTGACATTGGAAATTTGTCTGTTTGCAGAGGTTTGCCAACTGCACTTGCAATGAATCCTAGTCCCCTTGTTGTCCAGTAGTGAATTGGGATGTTGAAGAATTTGACCCAAACATGGATCTTAGTAAGCTCTGGGCTGTTGAGATCGAGGTTAGGTTGCCACTTAGAGAGTAAGATGCGTTTACCAGCCAAATTCCAAGGACCAGCTTCAATAATGATCCTTGCTCCTTGGTCAGATCCAAAGTTGAAGTAGAAGGCACCGTTTCCATCACCAAGCGCTTCCTTAAGGCCATTCTTTCCCCATATCTTGAAAGCATTGGTGTGGACCACTGAGAATGGGAGTTTTTTGAAAGGGAAGTGGCCAACAATGAATCCTTGTAGTGATTGGATCCCCTCGTCTGTGATATCATCTGGTGGAACAAGTGGCTGGGCTGATATGCTGTGTTTTTGGAAGTGATGGAGATGAATTCCATCAATGTTGTTGACAATGCTTGTCCAAGATGGCTTTACCTGCTGGTTAATGGTTGGAGGATTATTGGATGTGGTGCCAGCTGTGGTGGGGTCTTTTGCAGCATCATTCTGTTTTTGGTATGTTGCAGGTTCAACAGGTAAAGTAATATTTGATTGGACATTTGTTTGGACTTTATTTTGGAAAGTGATTGATTGAGGGAGAATGGTCAAGGAATTCAAATTTGAATTTGAATGGGAAATTGGTGGGAAAGGGGTGACCGGAGGAGAGGGGCATGAGGTCCAGAGAGAGGGAAATACCTGGTGATCTTTGGCTGTGCACATGGGTTGGCTTGTGTCTTGCATTGGATGAGTAGGGGAGGAAGTGGTTGTAATCTTTGAAGCTTAAGTTCTGCAATCTCTGATCTCAGCTCTGAGATGGTTAATTTCAGCTCCTCCTTAAACAGATCAAGATGGTTAATTTCAGCTCTGCCGAGGTTCTCTTGTTTGCAATGGTTTGGAAATGGCTTGCTGGTAGTTGGTTGGTTTGCTAGATGTCTGGGTGGCCGGTGGTGTTGGTTTAATGTAGTGATGGGTATGTTGTTTGGAGAGGAGATAAGTATATGGGTTGGTAAGATGGTTGCAGGTGAGTGGTGAGAGTTGGCTCCTTTACAGTGCTGGAATGGGTTTGTGGGTGAGGGAACTTGAGTTGTATTCCTTTCTGTTGTGTTCGTTGCATAGGTCTGGTTTGAAGATGATGGAGCATGTGTACATTTGATTGAATGAAGTCTGTTGAATGGAGGTTTCAGGTGGTTTCGGGTGCTTGGGAGGTTTCATTTTCCCTACACTTGAAGTATCTTCATCCTTTCAGATTTGGCATCTTCATCCTTTCATTTTTTATCACCATTTTAATCATCAGTTTCCGCAAAGAGTTTCAGAAACTTGATTTTTTGATCACCATTGCAAGAGTTTCAGAAACTTTGGTTTGGACTACCTCCTGGAACAATTGCCTTAACCTTACGAACCAATCTCCTGATGTGGTCTTTCCCTGGGCAGCTCGCCCCTGCTCTAAGACTGTCTCTGCTCAGCTGCTCAATCTGAAAGAATACTCGTACAAGGAAAGGACACATGCAATACTGAATGATTCACCTCATCGCCCTACGTCCCCTGTTAATGGATTGTGTGGAGGCAAAGAAAGAAAGCCAAGCGACAGAGATGCAGATTCAAAAGAAGATGCCTACCCAGGTTCAACAGAGGAAGTGGGAAGAAGAAAGACCTGAGGGAGATTACAGGTGGTGGTGGGAAAAGCCTTCATCATCGATAGCCTCAGGTCCCACATCGAAAATATATGTGGAGTGTGAAAGTAACAGTAAGTCTATATTTAATTACAGTAGTCCCACATCGAAATATCTATGGAGTGTGAAGTAACAGTAAGTCTATAAGTAAAAAAACTTTTATTTTATGTTTTTTGTTAAATGAGACAATGGTGAGCTTATCTCAAGCTCTCCGACGTCACTTCGTATTCGCTCGGGCTCGACTTGCTCAGGCTCGGCTTCAGCTTCCAAGTTTGGCAAAGTCTCCAAGTTTGGCTCGGGCTCCGCTTGCTCAGGCTCGGCTTCAGCTTCCAAGTTTGGCTCGGCTTCAGCTTCCAACCTTGGCTCAGGCGAAGCCAGGTAATTCCTTTTTTCTTTTCTTTTTTTTTTATTTGCTTTTTTTTTTTTTTAAATCTTTCTTTAGGTAGTTTTTTGTTTTTTGTTTTTTTTTTTAATCTTTCTTTAGGTAGTTTTTTTTTTTTGTCGTCCTTTTATGAAATTTTTCTGAATTTTTTTTTACTGTAGACTATAGCTTTACTTTTGCTGCGCTACGATCTTTTTCTACTCTGCCGAAGAAGGGTGGAAAGTCAGATGACGATCCGCAGGCGGATCCAAACACTAACTCGAAGTCATCAGATGACGATCCGCAGGCGGATCCAAACACCAACTCGAAGAAGTCATCAGATGACGATCCGCAGTCGGATCCAAACTCTGGAACTGGAAACTCGTCAGATGACGATGGAAACTCTGGAAACTCAGATGACGATTCCCAGTCAGATTCAGATTCAGAATCAGAGTATGATTTTCGGAGGGGATTAGAGATGGAAAGCCTCAAGGTGGCGAAATTCTTGGCATTAATTGAGGCAGCAAAATTACAGGTTGCTGCAGAAAGTCTGGTCCTTGCCACTGCTTCACTTTGTCTCACTTTTGTATTCGGCTTGGTGTCTGTCGGGTATCAAATGTATCAAACTATGCTCCAAGAGACGCTCTCCGACTTCGAGCGGGCGAATCTCTATCGGATGTTGAAGATGGCGAAGGAGTTGGCGAATTTCGTTCAGATGGATCCGGATCACCCGCTGCCAACCGATCCGGATCCGATCCATCTTCCAACCGAGCCGGATCCGATCCACCTGCCAACCGATCCGATCCGATCCACCTGCCAACCGATCCGATCCATCTGCCAACCGATCCGGATCCGGATACGATCCCTCCTCTTCTGACCTGGCTTCCTTGGCTTCCACGGTCGGCCCAGATACACCCACGTTCTAGAGATGATATGAGAGGATTGCGGATTGTATAGATTCAAAAGCAAGATTCAAATGTAGTACCGTACGTACAATTCTCATATATCTGCTTAAATTTCAATACATTTCATTCATATGGTGGTCACTCCCACCATTTGACGACACAGTAAGCCTACATAAAAGTAAAATACTACTAGCGCCCAATAATCCGCAATCCTCTCATATCATCTCTAGAACGTGGGTGTATCTGGGCCGACCGTGGAAGCCGAGTCAGGAGAGGAGGGATCGTATCCGGATCCGGATCGGTTGGCAGATGGATCGGATCGGATCGGTTGGCAGGTGGATCGGATCGGTTGGCAGGTGGATCGGATCCGGATCACCCGCTGCCAACCGATCCGGATCCGATCCATCTTCCAACCGAGCCGGATCCGATCCACCTGCCAACCGATCCGATCCACCTGCCAACCGATCCGGATCCGGATACGATCCCTCCTCTTCTGACTTGGCTTCCTCGGCTTCCACAGTCGGCCCAGATACACCCACGTTCTAGAGATGATATGAGAGGATTGCGGATTATTGGGCGCTAGTAGTATTTTACTTTTATGTAGGCTTACTGTGTCGTCAAATGGTGAGAGTGACCACCATATGAATGAAATGTATTGAAATTTAAGCAGATATATGAGGATTGTACGTACGGTACTACATTTGAATCTTGCTTTTGAATCTATACAATCCTACTTGAATTTAAATAGGTGTGATGTTATGTTAGAAACAGTGTGTTGACTTGAAATTGGAAAAAAAATATACCACTCTTCTTGTGTCAAATCAATGTCCGAAAATTGACCTTGGCCAAAGGCCTAAACAAGTCCAGGCATTGGAATTAAAATTATTTAAATAGGTGTGATGTTATGTTAGAAATACTGGTGTCAACTTGAAATTTAAAAAAAAAATATGCCACTCTTCTTCTGTCGGTACTACATTGACTTGAAATTGGAAAAAAAAAATATACACCGAATTTGATTTTTTCGGACCAAACATGCGAAAATTTGACATAAGACTCCTCAGACCAAACTTCCTAGGAGCATGTGGCCCGAACCAAATGTCAAATCATATTGACATTGATCACAATGTTCTACGCTGGCTGTGGAACTGGCTAAACCAACCCCCTTCCTTTATCCGGGCTTGGGACCGGCTTCATTTCCACATGTACTTACAAACACTAATATTTCATATGTCCACTTTAAACACAGAACATATTGTTTCAGCGAATAACAAAAAAATATATATCCTTTCAGCTTAGAAAATCGCATAATACAAGCTTCACCAACAGCATTACATTCATTGAAATACTTAACATTCCAGAATTAACAACGACTTGGAGGTAGAGAGAGGCAATTCTCATTCATGTTGGCATATGGCTCTAGGGTGTTATACTGCGGCAATATCATTCGATACTCACCAAGAATCTGGCAGAACTTGAGCTCACCAACCTCAATGCCGCACCAACTTGGCAGGCGTGTTAGGGTTATTCTCAAAAATCTTCAGCATGTATGCATCTCGAATCTGTGGTAACATATCCAAGTCATGTATAGAGATCAAAAGGTCAAAAAGGCAGAGCAACTTAATAACGAACAACCTCATATACTTACAGTGAACTCAGTTACTTGAATTGAGTTGGAAATAGGACCAAATACTCCAGCCTCTTTATACATTTCCACAATAAAGGCAACGCAAATTGTTGATTTCCCATCACTGTATACCCATTCATCTTGTTCGGGAATGGCAAGTATTTGATCAAAGGTGAGACCACGCCTTTCAGTCTCAGCTAGAATTCCATACAAATCCAAATCCTGTAAGAAAACAGACCAGTAATCAACTACGACGGCAACAACAACTATAATAATAATAATCTTTTTTTTATGACAACCAATAATAATAAGGGCTAAGTATATAAAACACCCTAAGGTTTACTTTTTGAGCAAATACCACGTCTCTTTTACTTTGAGTATAGAACTCCCTTAAAAATTTAAAATGTTGCAAACTATGGCTTTTCGGCACTCAATCATTAGAAAAGTATTGTTAACAAACCACATGCCTCGCACATGACTAATTAATTGTATTAAATACCAAAAATGACCTTATTTGATTTTGAAAATGCCCTTACCCTTATTGTATATAAAGGCCATAATAGTCATTTTACATTAACTGAATTTTTTATTATTATTTATTTTAATTGTAGGAAGGGCATTTTAGTACTTTTATCGCTCCATTAATGGCCGAATGAGGGGAGGTCCTTGTTCGCCCCTAAAATAAACGGTAAAGGGTTATATGAGCTATATGCATACAACAAGGTGTTAAATGCTTGCTGCCCTAATAATTATAACAACAACAACAACAATAATAATGAAAGAAAAACAAAAATTTGTGCAAAATTTTACATCCCACTGAAACTGCATAGTTAATTGTCTGATAATGAGCAAATGATATCCTCTTTCTGCTAAAGAGGATGTATTGAACTCCTAATTCACTAGATACATTTTATGAATGTCAACTATTGCAAGTAAATTGCTCATGTTTAAGTATCTACAACATTTCACATAATATGATTAGACAAAAGAAAAAGAATATTAATTCAAGCACCTCAAACTTGAGTACAGGAGTTTAAATAGCAAATTTCTTACATGTTTGTAATATTAACCATATATATATATATATATATATAATATTAGGATAGCATGATACCAGTATCCACTCCTATTTAGATTTCCCTTTTTTTCTGTTTCCAATCGCCTTCTCTTTTCTATCGCAAGAACCGACTATATGACATTCTTATATATAATACGAAGGCCTCTCAAAACCCCCTGTTACATGGGGTTGTTGGAGGGTCTCCAAACTCCCAAATATTGTCCTCTTTCATTGGAACTGTTTGTTAGGCTGTATTTCTCTTACAAAGCCATCTCTAATCTGATCTGAGAGACCTTCCCTTGCAAGATGTATTCATTGTCATGCTAACTAGAGTTGATTGTCATGCCAACTAGAGTGAGAGTGAATGCAACCTTCCTGTTTAAATTTGTTTGGCAATTGATTGAAACCATGTAAGATGTGTCTTTTAATCTATTCTCTTGCAATATCAATTGGTGACTGGATTTTTGATATAAATGCGAATCAGGGACAAGTCAAGAACTAGGCAGTAAGTTGTTTTTAGTATCTAAATGATTCATCTAACATACAATAGGTAAGTTTCCCTCTACATCAACTCTGATGTTGAATTCAAGATTTGAAATTATTAATACTGCAGCAGTAAACAATACCTTGTTTTTTTTTTTTTAATCAAATAGGCACAATGCGGAATTATAGAAATAGCACCGGTTGTTATAAAGATTAGTTTTATTGGATTAATCATCATTTGCACAATCAATTTATTTGTTTATTTATTAATTTGTTTTGTAATTTTAAATTTGATGGTGTGAGTGATAAAATTGTTGGTTTGTTACCTTTCATTTCTTTATAGCAAAGGACTTTGTTTTCCCATCCTCTAAGGTTGTATCTCATTTTCTAATTATATACTTGTAAAAAAATTGACAATTTTTATTATTTTGTTATATTAGGTTGAGGTGTGTGGAAGAAAGTTGTTGGCATGACCGGTGTCGGTAATAGATATGTGTATTCACATTTCTTTGTGGCATCATAATTTTTAAGCAGAGGGTTGGGAGGAGGTACTTGCTAGGATTAAAGGGTTTAAGTATCTGCATGCTTCAGCATAGGATAATCTGAATGGAGTGAAAACTCTGTTACCACTGTCTTGTGGCATTTAAGTTTCAAATTTTTTTTTTTTCCCCCTTTTTTTGTTACGACTTCTTTGCTTACGACGACAAACCCAGCCCGAATGGAGTGATAACCTTTTTTTTTTTTTTTGGTTTTCTTTGCTTACAACGACAAACAAGAGGAAAGGAGTTGGCTTCATCAGTCGGGTGTTTTCCGGCAAACCCAGCTAGAAACCTCTTTTGACCAACGAACCCAAAGTATCAAGGTAGGACTCGTGTTGGCATTCAAGTGAAGCAGGGCATTTCAACTCTGGTTCATTTTACTTGTCAAATTTAGTGTATGTAATACTTTTCCTTATAGTGTATGTGGTACTTACTTTGTGCCAGATCAATGTGGTGAGGATTCTCACCATCATATCATCATATGTAGTGCTTACTTTGTGTCAGATCAATGTGGTGAAAGTAAGGCTGTAAGTTGGGCAGTTGAATTCAGCCCGAGTCTAATCCAATCTTAACATGAAGTCGGTTAGATTGGACAAACCCGATGTTAAAAAATTTAGACTCTGACAATAACCTGAGTCCGAATGTATTTGGGATGTACGAGTTGACCCGTTTTTTTAAATTTTTTATTATAAACAAATATGCAGATTACATCGTGTTTTTTTTTTTTTTTTTTTTTTTTTTTTTGTCGATTTAAAACATCTTTGTCACTGAAATATTCAAAATATTAATTTTTATATTTTTTCAAGTCTAATTTTATTTTTAATAATACAAAAATATAAAACTTACCTTATTTTATTTAAATATAAAAGTAAAAAACAAACTTTTTCTTTTTTAATTGTTATTAAATAAAATTTTAATTTTAAATTACTCCGATTAAAATTCTAAAACAATTCTTGTACATAGAAGTAATTCTTAAAACAAGCCCGGTGGACAGCAAATTAGAGAGAGAGAGAGACAGAGGGGAAAGCCAACACACACACACATATATATATATATCAAAGATTTGGAAGGAAAGAAAAAAGAAAAAAAAAATTGGAAGGAGAAAAAAAAAATGGAAGTTTTTCAAAATTTTCAAAAATTTTTAATTCATTAATAATTTTTTTTAATCTGATCAAACTATTAGTATTATGACTGAAGTATTCAATTATTATTTTTTGCATTTTTTCAACTTTAATTTTATTTTTATTACAACAAAAAAATATAACTTATCTTATTTTATTTTAAATATAAAAATAAAAAACTTTTTTCTTTTTATTTGTTATTAAATAAATTTTTATTTTTAAATTATTCCGGCGGGCAATTCCTTGATACCTGTTTGCATTTGGGTTTTATCTCTCTGCAATCACACACATATATATATCTATGTCAAATGACCAATTAAAGTTTTCAGTAAATGATACAGATATACATAATTACATATATAGCAGAGATTTGGAAGCTGCCAAAAAAAAAAAAAAAAATGTTTTTTAAAATTTTGGGTTGGGTTCGGGTTGAGCCCAAGACCAACCCGAATATGTCTGGGCTAGGGTCGGGTTGGGCTGAGTTGGTCTACCCAAAATTTATAGGTATTTGTAGGTCAAATTATTTCAGCCTCCCCAATCGCCTCATCTCTATGCTCAGTCTCAACTCTGAACTTTCCCTGCATTCGGAAAAAGAGTGAGTCTCGTTCAGAGGGATGGGATGTTTCTAAGGGTGGTTGGAGGCGATTGGGGAGGCTGAAATGATTTGCCCTAAAAATATATATATATTTTTTCTGGTGGCCCTGCACTCGGAAAAAGAACGAGGCTCGTTCAGAGGGATGGGATGTTTCTAAGGGTGGTTGCCCCTCTCTGTAAACGATGATCTCCTACAAAATGAGGGATGGGAGATCATCTAGAGCCAATGATTTCATTTCCTACAGAATCAACAGCCCTTTGTGTATGTATACTTCTGATTCTTGTAGATTTTGTAGTTTCCATCATCATTATAAGAGGCTGTGATGATATATGTTCTGAGTGGATCATACTGGCATTGAGAATCGGATCCGTTTATTGGCGGGGCAAACCAGAGGGTCTGTGGGAGAGAGATTTGGTTCTTCTCTCACAGGCAACTATTGTTGCAGCCAGGGCGGTGGGTTATACTCTTGCCCTCATCAAAAGCAGATCTGAGCCTCTCAAGTGTATTTTATTGAAAATTTTCAAAAAAAAAAAAAAACTCTGAACTTGCCCCCCCTCTCTCTCTCTCTGCAACTGTAAACTACAAAATCTACAAGAATCAGAAGTTCAAAACCCATATATTTCAGTATATCTATCTGTCTGCAAGAATCAAAAGTTCAAAACCTATTATCTAGATGAAAACCCATATCGGCATATCATTTCAGATTGTTCCAAAAATCAAAACCCATATCTTTCAACCCATATCGGCATATCATTTCAGATTGTTCCAGTTCGGGTTCGCTGTTCACAAGCTTCATGTATGTATGTGTCTCTCAAGCTCTCTCTCTGCAACTGCTAACTTGTATGTATGGGTTTTGTTTTTAATTTTTTTTTTCTAAATCAACTAATCAAGGTCTGTAATTCTTGTTTTGCAAACTAAATCTTATTTGGTGAAATTTTTTATGATTTTTTTTATATAAATTTTTTATTTTTACAATATAAAGAAATTTGCATTGCATTTTGAGGTAATCACCGTAATCTACATTTTATTTCAGCAAAACAAATATATATATTTTTATTTCTATAACTTCTATTTCTTTTTTTTATTTTTTATTTTTTGGTCAATTATGTCTACAAGAAAATTTGCATCTGGGCATGAAAAAAAAAAAAAAAAAATCTTTGAAGATTAGGAGATTGAATTAGGAGATTGAATCTGAAACAATTTTTATTTGAAAATGGAAATCTTTTCAGAACTAAAAAGAAAAAATCATAACAAGAACTTTGACAAGCAAAAGTAGTTAATATAGGGTAAAGCTCTAAAGTTACTTCTTGAAAATTAAAATGCTTACAAAAAGCATGCTTTTGAGTGAATTCCGTAGTGTTGGAAGGGGCTTGCCATGAACTAACTCACACGGAAGATTTAGGGTACTGAGTGGTGAATTGGAGGCGATTGGGGAGGCTGAAATGATTTGCCCTAAAATATGTATATTTTTTCGAAAAAGAATGAGGCTCGTTCAGAGGGATGGGATGTTTCTAAGTGTGGTTGCCCCTCTCTGTAAATGATCTCCTACAAAATAAGGGATGGGAGATCATCTAGAGCCAATGATTTCATTTCCTACAGAATCAACAGCCCTTTGTGTATGTATACTTCTGATTCTTGTAGATTTTGTAGTCTCCATCATCATCATCAATCATCACTATAAGAGGCTGTGATGATATATGTCTGAGTGGATCATACTGGCATTGAGAATGATCCGTTTGTTGGCGGGGCAAACCAGAGGGTCTGTGGGAGAGAGATTTGGTTCTTCTCTCACAGGCAACTGTTGTTGCAGCCAGGGCGGTGGGATATACTCTTGCCCTGATCAAAAGCAGATCTGAGCCTCATTTGTAGTCAAGTGTATTTTATTGAAAAATTTCAAAAAAAAAAAAAAAACTCTGAACTTGCCCCCCCTCTCTCTGCAACTGCAAACTAGAAAATCTACAAGAATCAGAAGTTCAAAACCTATATATTTTAGTATATCTGTCAGTCAAATTAGGGTAAGTGAGGCGGCTGAGAGCAGATCTGAAATGGGGGATGATGTTTTCTGAAAATATATGGGATTGGTGGGCAAGGAAGCATTATATACATATATGTTGTAATTATTTGCTTCCCTACTCCACCCATTCCTATGGTTTTCGGTGTTATCTCTTTTCTTATTCAGCTTCATCATCTCTTTTACACACTCAAACACACACGTATATGTGTATATTGTTTATGCGTGTTTGCGTATCGACGCCGGAAAGTTGTGTGGGAGGTCAATCGAGTTCGTCGAAGAGGAAGTGTTGCAAGAGAAGAAAAGATCAAGCAGCGAGTTTCATCTCGTTTGTCTGATCGATCGTTGGACAAGGTCCAGAAGTCTGCCCCTTCGGATCGCTCCCATAACAATCCCACTTTTCATGGTCCTCTCTCTGTCTCTATCTCTCTGCATACTCATATATATAATAATGATTACGAGTTTTGATTTTTTTTTTTTTTTTTTTTTGAGACTGCAATTTGAAATTGAATTTTGAATTTGAACTGTGGTTTATGGAGTTTATGGTTTGGATTGTGAGAGAAAGATGGGAATTTGGACTAAGCTAAGCTAGCTGCATTGTGTGAAGCTGGTACTCTCTTAACATAAAGATGTACAGCTTTGGATTTGGGAGGGATTCTTATAAGAACTATTACTTTTTGGTTTCAACATTCAAATCATTACATGATCATTGACCTTGAAATTTTTTGTGAATTGCCTGACAATTTGGTGGTCCTTTCTTATTCATAATTCATGAAATTAGGATGTTCAGGGTAAAGTTTGTAGAGTAGAGTATTTCAAATCTTTTCCATGATTTAATTTTGGTTCTACATTTTCCTGGTAGATGAGCTGATGGTGTCTTTTTTAAATAGATATGGATGCAGTTCTTTAGTTGATTTGTTAGCTATCAAAGACAAATAAGTTGATCACATCTCAAATTGGAGGCTTTGGTGAGTCCTCTCAAGGCTTTTGGTGAGCCAAGGACTGAAAACTGTACTTTGTGGAGATCACCATATGAGTCCCAATTCCCTGTTCATAGCCGTGGGAGATGCCTCTTATTTTGTACAATTGGATCTGGGTTCAAAACTTGGTCTGGTTAGTAGAAAACAACATGAGTGCCTTGTTTGAAGATTGATAGTGTTCAAGATCTTGTAGTTTGGAGAAGGGATGGGGAATTGTAATATATATATATATATATATATATATATGTAGTTTACGGGACTGGAGGCCTTTAGATAGAGTGGAATGGCGAAATATAATTTATTTAGCTGATCCCAAGTAGTTTGAAAAGGCTTCAATGAATTGAGTAAAAAGAATGGGGAGTCTAGTTTGATAAATTGGATGTCTAGGCAATGATATAAGGCTATCTAATTTGGCATTAGACATGGTAAAAGTAGCTTCCAAATATATGGGAGTTTAATGGGATGATGTTACGTATAGAAAACTATAGCTGGTTGATAAATTAGTGATGCATTACTACAGGATATCCTATGTTGCAAATAGCATTCTCTAATTTTTCTATAGTTTTTAATTGCGCTTATTGGGTCTGCAAAGAGCTTAGGGGCAGTAAACACTAGAAGGTGGATTTTACATGTAAATTGGTGGTTAGGGAAACTGCACTCTAAATTATTAGCTTAGTTATACAGAGATAGCTACCATGCAGGTATTCACAGTGAGGATGTTACATAACATTAGGGCGGTGATTGATTGCTGCATTTGGTGCCTTGGAAATATGGTTTTGGTAAACTTCTTAAGGATGCTACAAAGACATCCTTTTGTGGCCTGATTTCAAGTTCTTAAGAAGTTAAAAGTCATGTAAAGTTGAGATATGTTGGATCAAGAATACAGAATTTTAGTTTTTTCCCTGTTCCATAGAAAACAAGCTTCATGTGTGTATTTTCCTTGAGTACATCTGTTATGTACAATCCTTCCCAGTTCATACCACCCCAGTGTTGTTAAGGGTGCGCCTGTTGTGTGCCCAGGTGTGCCTTTGACAACATTTGCGCCTTTAATATGGAATATGAATATGTTTTAATAGTAATTTAATTTTTCAATAGTGTGCCTTGCCTTGCGCCTAGGCTCCAAAGGACCTCTAGCGCCTTAGTGCGCCTTGGGCCCTTGATAACAGTGTACCACCTAGATGCTATTTCTGGCTAATGAACAAACAGAAATGTCAAGATCATGGCTAGGTAGAGAAAAAAAAAATTCTAAAGGCTTCCTTTACAATTTTTTTATTGCTGTACTTTTCTAATTCTGGTTTCTGTTAAATATTGTATCATTTTTTCAACATGTGTCAAATTGAAATATCCTGAAGATAGTAATCTGCCACTCTTGTAGCTGCAAATGCTGCTTTCCTGATTTCTGTCACAATGTGATAATACTGACAGGAAGTATTGAGGAGGCATGGTTTGATTCTGCTGGCATACTTGACTCTGACTGTGATGAAGATTTTGAAAGTGTCCAGGATGGTAAAAATATGGAAAATTTAGTTTTAATCGTATATTTTAATTTCATGTTTCTTTCGACCTTCTGATTGACCAGTTATAATAGGCTTTTATCCCCACTTGAGAGGTGCTAATGCTGTTTGCAGCATCATAGTGGATGTATGTGTAGTTACTAGCTACATCTGTCCTTGTGCGGGTTATGTTTTTGTTGAGTAACAGAGTGTTGCGAATTTTGTTGCATATGCTTAATTATTGCTACTTATGACTTCCTTTTGGTTGAGCAACGAGCAAGTTGAAGTGACATTAGGTTTGCTAAATATCAACAAATCTGGAAAAGTTTGGAATGTAGTGTTTTTCATGCTTCCATTCTCAGCCATGATTCCGTGAACTTTTTACAGGGAGAAAACTACTTCGAGCTTGATGTGGATATGCACCGATTTAGTTACATCTCTAGGAAAGGGTTTGATGCATTCCTGGATAGACTAAAGCACTACATTTTGGATGTTGGCCTTACAATTCAGGCAAGTTCTTCCAGTACCCTCCAAGTTTGAGTGGCAACCCAATATTAAACTATCCCATTCTTCATTATAATTTTTTCCTTATTTTTGCTTTTTTATATTGCATGCTATTATTAATATTACCTTTCGTTTCTGTTATAAACCAGGGGAACAAAGCCGATGAGTTGCCAGAGCAGATATTATGTTGTATTAGGTTAAATAGAATTGACTACATGAATTATCAGAAACTGGGTTACAGTCAACAGTCCATTTAAATTGTGCACATACACTGTAAGGCTTAAAATTAATTTATTAAATAAAAGTATATTTTTTCTATTGAAAACTTCGTAGTGCTCCTTTTTTCTAGTTCTTTGACTTTCATTTGTGCGAAGTATGTGCATATGTACTTGTGTGTCGTGTGTGCCCGCGCGCATATTTAACTGATTTTTGCAGACAGTCCATTCTTTGGTAAGCATTCCACTTGAATAAATATTTTCGAACATCTTGTTTCCTGCAAGGCTTCTCCTAGCACAGATAGATTCTTGGTGTGGTGGTTGAAGTGTAATTTGGTACTTATTTCGTAATGCCTGAAAAATTCCAAGGACCAAATCAGTTAGGCATCACCTAGAATTACTTTGCAAGGGAAACAGTTCTAGATAGGGAAATAGTTCTAGATTGGGTTGATTGTGATGGATTATGCTGCTATTTTGAAAATGAAAAACTGCTTTCGATACAGATTCATACATGCATACAAGTGTATAATATATAAAGATAATATGATCAAAAGTATCAGTGTTCAAGACTTACAAGGACTAGGAGGTTTACCCCATAACCCTAGGTTTCCACAGAGAGAAACGAGAGGGAGGTAAAGTGTCCGAAAGCAGGAGAAACAGTTACCAAAAGATTAGAGGTGTCCGAAAGCCGGAGAAACCGTTACCAAAAAATTAGCTGAAGGACGGCATTTGGCCAGATTAAGCTTGATGGAAATGTGATCTCTCACTCAAAGTTGTTGAGGGAAAGATCAATCATTTCCAGAGCCTGCAAGTTACAGATTTCTCTGCTGGCATTTGACCACCGAGAATTTTGATGAAGATCCAAACTTAGCAATTCTGTCAAGTTACCAATCTCTGCTGGTATTGCACCAGAAAACTGGTTTGAGAGTCACTTAGGTTACATGTCTTAAGCTTACGAATACCGTACTTTGTTGGAGATGAGAGTGAGCATTGCAATAACCCATTGTGTCTGGACAGATAGAGACTTCAAACAAACAAGGATAAGACACTAGTGTTGCTCAAAAATTGCCTCTTTTTCTTTACAGTTACTAGTCTATAAGACTATGACACACACCGACACAAACACACACAAAATGTTTCTGCATAATTGATTGTTAATTAGAATTGTTATGTTGCAACTCTGTTTCCTCATTCCGCTAACAGCAAACCTGGTTCATCAAAAGGTGCTTGGTGATGATCTATTGATAGATTATTGTTGTTGTTTTTTATGTACTTAATCAAAAGTTCCCCTTTTTTTCTTCACTAATTAGGTCTGACTTTTGAGCCCTGTTTATCTTTGTGGAATTTCAAGAAGGATGTTACTATCATGGGTATTGTTTAAACATGCAGTATAAATATTTTAGTTTACTAGTATAGATTCTGATCGCATCTTTCAATTTTTGAGTGGAGGTTGAGTCTTTGAACCCTACTAAGGATAATATCATGAATGGCGTTTTTGCTTTAAGTTTCAAAAAAGAAAAAAGGAAAAACACTCACAAATACTGTTTACTCTATCAAGAATTATGCTTCATGTGTCTGTTATGCAACATACCTCAATAATTCACTAATTGCTTCCACGTTTACCATTCACAAATTGCTTCCTCTTTGTTTTCAACATTTAATGAGCAGTGTCATACGGCTTTTAGAAAGTAAACCTCTTCTCTACTTACCTAATACTTAGCAGAGAATAAATAAGTTTCCCAACAGAAAAGAATTTTTATATTTTTACATGTCCTGAATCCTGATCCAATATTGGCCAGTTGTATCCACTTCAAATAAGACCCAGCGGTTTACTCGCTGGTCTTTTGAACTTAGCAAACCTAAGGTTTGGGATTCAAGTTATGCTAGTAAGGGCGAATTTAGGAGTGGGCTTGAACCCACCGCCAATTTTTTTATTTTTTATTATAGACAATTTTAGCCCAGTTCCAGAAAAAAAAAAAAAAAAAAAAAAAAAAAAAAAAAAAAAAAAAATTAAATGTGTATTATTAGTATTAGCTTACCTAAAGAAATATTAGCCCATCTAATTGATAATTCCTGAATTCGCTTTTTGTAGCTAGCCCCTGCAGTGACTTACTCAGCTTAAGTAGGGAGGTGTCCTTCTGTGTTCTCGGAGATTAGTCTGATTATTGAGTGTGCCCTTCGAAACACTAAGTTAACTAAAATATATTACGCGCGCGTGTATTGGTCAGTTGTACTCCACATTGATCGATTCCCATTAGTGACCCCTGCTATATGCTTAAGTGGCTGCGATTGTCTCGCCCAAAGGCCGAAGCAATAGAAAGGTCTTAAATTGTTTTATTTTCTTATATATTAAAAGTTGTGACAACTAAAAGTCTTGACGGAGATTAAAGAGTAGAAATACCAATAAAGAGAGTAGGATACCAATTTTTAAAAAATAAAAATAAAATAAATGTGTGGTGAAATTCGTTCCTCGGAATTCATGATCACATGCCCCTCTATTGTCTTTCAAATTGATGCCACAATGAACATTTTTTATTGTGAAATGTCAGTTACATGTAATCAAATGGGGATGGAATCCCAGAACAAGCCTAAAGCCTATTGATCTTAATAAGGTGAAAATTAATACGTGGCATCGGGACTAGTCAAATTTGGAAGGAATAGTCCCTACCCAGAGGGTAGTCATTTCTCTAATATATATCACATGTGGGGCTCAAGGAAAGCCTGGACCGACCTCTACATGCAGGTCCTACAATAAATAGCGGAAGGTAATGTTTAACCAGATGCAAAGCAAGTGAGGAAGTAAAATTGGCCTTTGAAACATTGTGCCTAGACAAAAGACAACACAAGTTGATCATTGCTATCTTTCCATTTTATTTGGGCTTTAGCAGCTTGACAAAATCGTTTAAAAGTTAAAACTGATAAAAAGCGAAGACATGTACGAGCAAACTCGGTTTCTGGGCAACCAAACATGGCAATATTCAACCACTCCACTAATGAAAACTGTGCTGTGCCTAAACAATAATTCCAATGTTTTTTTTTTTTTCATCAGAGGTTGACAGACAAAACACAACTCATTAAGCACTACTTTGGGAAACTAATGACCTTATTAATTAATCTTTCTTATCGCTAATTTTGAGGAGGCCTTGCTTGTTGCACCTCTAACCTTCAACGAAGAGCTGATACTGTTGGAGTTTGAAGCCCTAAAAGATTGTCATAAAATCTCTTTTGTACACTCAAACTACAAGGGCTTTGTTTCAAGTTTAATTTTTTTAGCATTACTTTAAACTACACTTGGTGAGATAGCTTTCTACGTTGCACAGTTAAACTAATTCATAACAATTGTAAAATAGTGTTCGGCTCGTAAAAAACCGTGGTTCCACTTTCCAAGTGAATGAAAGTAGGAGTGAATTGCGGGTGTACCAGGAACTGCAGAAGTTCTAAAGTAAAAAATCCGAACGGTTATCCAGTTGGAAAGTTGTAAGGATCAGGCGATTGTACGAAGGTCTGGAATGACCACTTTCGAAGGGTCTTTTTTGCCTTTGAACAAGGACTTCAAACTATTCTATGACTAATGGAAATGAAGACTGTATTGAAGGTGCAATGCTGGAATTTAAAGTAATTTAAAGTGCATGACTGGAAATTTAGAGACATGGATATGCAGTGCTCCGCTAGAAGTAGCAAAAGGAGTGCAAGACTTAGAATTCATCGCATGGAATGAAAGCTACATAGAATAGCAAAGTGCTGGACTCAACTTAAAAGGACGTATATTCATTGCTGGAATGGAAATACAAGTACTAGCAAAGTGCTAGGTTTAAACATAGTGCAAACTTATTGTTGAAATGAGAGATGAAAGCAAAGATGCTTGTGTTGATAAAGCTTTGAGTTGTGTTGTGTGCGTTGAGCAGGCAGGGTTTGCAAACTAGCCTTGGGTGCTCTATTTATAGAGTTCTTCATGCATGCAGCAGCTTGATGTGGCAACTCAAGTGATTTCCACGTGGCCAAATTTCGAACTGCCACGTGTCACATGATCTTTCAGCCTTCTCTAAATGTTGCCAAGTGTAAAACAATATTCTCCTATGATTTATAACTAATAGATAGTGGACTTGGTGGTTGAATACATACTTATAAGCCTTCTCCCATGTTCTGGAACTGCCCAGATGGAAAGGTAGCGGTTTCCAACAGCAGTTACAGCAACAGTTGAGAACTTCCACCTGGAAGATTCGGATCATGCCACATGTCCCATGTCTTCTTTAGTCTTCTCCCTCATGCGTGGTCTTCTCCTTTATCAGACCATGATTCCCCTAATTTAGCCATATCATTCATTATCTTCAAACAGTCCCTCAATTAGTGGTGGTTACCATATGAAGTTCTACCACTTTCAACTGACGTGTTCTTGTTTGGCCAAGTGTCCCCACGATCCTTGTATTTCCATATATACATGTTGTTTACTCCATTATTTTTGCCTAATGGAAAGACGACATGTGGCGAGTTCCAATGGAACTTGCCATGCTGGATCGCAACTCTAATAAGTTATTATTGGAGTTTTAAAGCTATTTAATTTTACGTAACAATCAAAGACAAGTGGGCCAGTACAATCCTACCATATAGAGTTTTCTATCCTAAAAGAAAAGAGGTGAGTCCTATTAGGACTTGCCATCTTTAAAGTGATGGCTTACAAATTCCTATTTGGAATGAAGGAATTATTTTATGGAAATACTACCATATATGCAATCTCATACAATTATTCAAGATAAATTCAACCAATTGGTTCTCGACACATGACGAGTTCTACGGAACTTACCATAAGATATTTTTTCTTTTAAAGAATTAATAGGTGAATTTTGTGGGCAAATCACGTATCTTCAAAACCCTTGAAGAGTTACCAAAATTTGCAAAGTTGACCAAGCTAGAAAAGGAGAACATGGAGGCTATATTTTCTCCTTCTTTCTAGGAAACTTCAACGGTTTGTCTAAACTTAGTCAATCTTCGTTGCTACAATTTTGCAAAACATGGGGGTTTAATATATTTATAATATATATACATATATATATATATATATATTTATGTATATATTAAACCCACGATTAAAAAGAGGTCACTTGTACCCAGAGAGCATGATGCCGTGAAAGTAGG